CCCTCCCCCCTTCCCTCCACAACCCCCCCCATAAAAAACAAAATTTACAAGTCCTAAGAGACATTTTAGAGATAATTTACCACAATTGTCAAATTACATCATGTGATCCATTTAAAAAAAAAAAAAAACAAAAAATTATTTTTAATTTGGGAATTTATTTATAAATAATCATTATTATCATTACAATATAACCGTTATTAATTAATAACAACAACAATAATAATAATAATAAATTTTTATTTATTTAATTATAGTAAATTAAATAAATTTTAAAGAGGAAGAAAAAAAAAAGAGAGAGAAAATGAAGGAAAAATTTTTTGCTTTAAAAAAAATAAAAAAATGATGATAATAATAATAATAAGGGATAAATTATGTTAATTTTTTTTTTTTTTTTTAAAGGACATAAACGTCCTAATAAAATTTGCGAATATAAATTCAATATGGCGAACTTGAAAAAGGAGGAAAACTTTAAAAAAAATTTTTTTTTTTTCTTTTCTTTTTAAGTCTATTTCACTCTTGGACGATTTCAAACCCGCGATTTTTAAGAGAGAGAAAGAGAGAGAGAGAGAGAGAGAAAGAAAGAAAGATTTATTACGGATGATGAAATTATTATTATTATTATTATTATTACTTTTGAGTTACTTAAAAAAAAAAGAAAAAGTTTTTAAAATTAAAAAAATTTAATCGTTAAAATATTTTAACCTCAACCTTTTCCAATCAGTCAATCAATCAATCATTCGTTTGTATTGACATAAAAAAAAAACACTTTTACTTTTGTTTTTTTTAAAGGTCATTGTTCCCTCTTTCTTTTTAACGGTAAATTTTTATTTTTTATAGCAAAAATTATTAAGTAACGTAAAACATCATCACTCATCATCATCATCATCATCACGTCCTCAAATTTTAGAATTTTCCTATAGGAAATTTTCTTAAGGAAAATTTTAAAAAAATTTTTTTACCTTGGATTGTTTGTTGTCTTGAATACAAACATAAAAAAATTTAAACAATTTAAGATTCCCACAAAAAAAGTAAAATAAAAAATCGTACCTGATTATTAATAATAATAATATCAATCATTAATAAAAGCAAAAAAAAATTTTTTTTTTTTTACACTCTAAAATAAATTTTAACAAAAATTTTCACGGTTGTGTGTTAATTAAAACAATTTTTTTTTTTCCTACGTGCCAATAATAATTAAATTCTCCTACTACCTACGACTCTGAGAGAGAGCAAATAATAAAAACGAAAACTTTTTGCTATCGTTCAGAATAATAATAATTTAAATAAATAATTTTTTTAAAAAAAAAAAAAAAGTTTAAAAAGAAAATGACGTCACCATGATTTTTATTTAAATAAATTAATATTATTTAAATTTTAAATACCGAATATTTTTGTTTGTTTTCCTCCCCCCCCCTCTTCCCCTTCCTAATATTCATCCTTCCTCCATTTTGAAAAAAAAAGGAAACGGAAATAACCGTTAAAATTTTATATATATATGTACATTTGATTTTCTTAGCCAAAAAAAAAAAATGTTATTATTAATTATTATTATTGATTATTTTATTTATTAAAATGAAATGAATAATAATAATAATAATAATAATAATAATTGTTATGTGACTCGTGTGAATAAAAAATTAAATAAAACGGTCAACGAGGGATTAATAATTCGTTGATATTATTTATTACTCGTATTAATTAAAATTTATTTTTATTTTTTTTTATTATTTAAAGACAAAAAAAAAGCAATTTTTATTTATTAATTATGAGATTTTAATAAAAAATGATTTGAATAATAATAATAATAATTTTATTAACACGTTTCGTTTCATCCACAAACATTTCCTATTGGAATTTAAAATAATAATAATAATAATAATAAAAACTTAAAATATTTAAAAAAAAAAAAAAAAAATTTATTATTTAAAAATTACAAAAAAAAAAAAAACTAATACAAATAACTTATAATAATAA